TCCAAATCCAAATCGGATACATTAAAAAGTGGCAGAAATTTTCATGTGTAATGAATAAAGTAGCCAGCTTCCGGACCTGCACATTGCTTTTGTGGGGAAATGCACGGATTCAGGATGAAAAACTTAGATTTAAGGACAGTTAAAATGCTTTAGACACGCAATATATGGTTCATTTGATGTTGAAGATTATAACGACAACTCTGAGTTTCTTCAGAATGGAAGTTTCTGTAGCCTGCTCAATATAGAGGCAAGTGATATTTATTTAACAATATCAATTATTGGCCATATGTCTTCAGAATTTCTAGGCTTAAAAATCTTCAGGTTCTTAACTGAATTTCCTCCATGCAGATGTGTTCCGAACGGGCAGAATACCAGCAACACAATCTGATGCCTAATAACATCCAATCACAACAAAAAGATTGCTAGTAATCTATTATAAAAGTTTAGGGTTTCAAAAGCGTACAGGTTTAAATCTTCTGACCCTACTAGATAAACAAACCAGTTAACGCTATAGTCTGAATTAATATGATGATATACTATGAAAGTTAAAAGAGATTTTTTATTAACTCTTTTAATTTAGCAGCAGTCACTACTTATGCCTACAAAACAATTTTTGCCATTTATGGGAATTTAAAGGTACGCTGCGAAAAAAAAGGGGAGGGGGCAGTTACGTATCTTTCGTTCTACTGGGCCGATTGACGAAATTCAAATTGCATTTTTCATGTTTCGAAAGCGTGACTTAGTATATATATTAGATTTAAATATAACATTATTTTAACTTAAGTAATTTGACCCCAAAATTGGACTTTTCCTGAAATAACATAAAAATTGTTTCATATTTCGATTCTACGACTAAAATTATGCCTAAATGTTAATTTTGTAAAATTTTGTGCGAAATTTATTGAGAAATTAAAAAATTCATCTTGACGAATTTTTTTCAGTTTGTGCCAAGTGTTTTCGCCAATTCACTGGGCGAATTTCTTAATATATGGCAACCTATTTTCCTTTCCCTTCCATTGTACGTGAGCAGAAAAAAAGACACATTGTTCCTACCTTTTTACATTGTGCATGAGAGGAAAAAAAGCGACATCGTTCCTACTTCCAAATAATTTTAACGAAAATCCCTAAACTACATTTGATGTTATTATCGCTTTTAACAAATATGCCAAATTTCAAAACGCGCCAATATATAAACTCACGTACATCTTCGGAAGGTTTGAATAAACAACTGTAATGTTTTGCAAGTTTGCTTAGAAATACATCTACATTAAGAAATACATCTACTTTATGAAATACATCTACTTTAAGATGATAGTAAAAATTTTATAGCTTATAATACAAGTTTTCAAAGGATGTAAAGTTTAGCTATTATGATACATCGTGTATATCTACCATTCACTCCACATCCAGTATGTATTAAAGGTACAATTTAGGACTGGGTTTTTTAAACTGTGGGTTGCGACTCCCACTGGGGTTGCGGGACCTACAGCAGGGGGTCGCCAAAAGTTTTAGCAGTTTCGATATTTTTTAACTTATTATAATAATTTTAAAATTACCAAATATTTTTACACAATGTATCTGAAAATAGATAAATATAGCCAATACAGACCAAGAAAAAAACGACGCATTCTTTTTACAATATAAAACGTTTCTTTTCCTTGCTTTTCACGTGACGCTGTCTTTTCGTCTGTTACTTTTTTAACATTTTCATATTGTTCTATGTCTTAAAATTAGGAATTAAAGTTAATGACCTAAAATTGTAATATTATATTACAGTACAAGTGGAAAAACTGACAGTTTCATTGACGCGTGTGTCGGATTTGCGCAATACTTATGGGGCCCCACAAAATGTTTGTAAATATTATGGGGTCCTGGGGGTCGCGAAAAACTCTCAGTGATAAAAAGGGGTCGCGACTGAAAAAAATTTAAGAAACCCTGATTTAAGACATAAGGAGATTACAATCACAATTTCAATACAATTTGAAATTCACAAATTAAATTGAGAACATTTGTTTTGATGAAACAAAACAACAGGTAAACATAATGAGATAAATATAATACGCACTGGTACCGCAATATTATAAATGAACTAAATAATAAAGAAATGTTCATGAGCACAAATCTTCTGAGAGCAACGTAAAAAATTAGTGTGAGTAAGAATCTTAAACCAACATAAATGAGCATAAAAATCTTAAATTAACATAAAAAAGTAGTGTGAGTAAGTAGTGTTAGAATAAGTCAAGGATTTGGGAATTCAAAAAGTAATTTGATGTGACGCAAAAAAATCCTGATGTGGAAGTGAAATTGCCTCCCTTCTACTGCCTCTTAAAATATACTTATTTGATGCTACATTTCATTTAAACTTACTTCCTGGAATTTTATTAGAGATAAATTTCTCAAAGCAAACATACATAAAAACTTAAAGCATCTTCATTAAAAATTGTAAACTGCAGAAAAACAAAAACATACCAAATACAGTTAAAACAGTTAAAAAAATTGTGAAGTTAAAATTAGAATTTCTACGGAAAAACAAACCATTCAAACAGCATGTACGAAGGCAGGTTTTTCGGTGCACAAAACTGAAAGTTTACGTTTTGTCCCGTTTGGAAAAAAGGCATTGAACGTCCAGAAACTGACTTAATCCACTATTCTACTGAGTTTTAAATGTAGACAAATGGCGGCCTCATTAACCTAAGCAGCCCTTAAGCAACTTTTAAATTGTTGCTAATTCTACAACTATTGCGTTCGCATTAACTAAAGGCATAATAATCTTAATCGGAACATAAAAAGTACATAATTCGATCACTTTTAAAGCGAAATATGCACAATTTATCAACATATAAGAATAAAAAACTAAGTTCACCGAGCCAGGTAACATAGTGGAAACATATGTATCACAATTTCAATACAATTTGAAATTCACAAATTACACTGAGAACATTAGTTTTAATGAAACAAAAACAACAGGTAAACATAATGAGATAAATATACTCAAATATATATATATATATAAATATACGTATTTATATACTATTAGTGCAGCCGGTTGCTAACGAAAAGGGAGGTGCACACTACAATGTCTCTTCTGAATTCATTTTAAATCCATTTGATAATCCTTTTGACAGAAACACTCTTTTATTCTGTCCATACGTATAGATGTCACGCAGAAACTTCGCTCAAATGGTTTCGAGAGCGTTCGAAATTTATTTTTGTTCAAATATGATACCCAAAGTTTTTCGCGGTTACTATACTAGTTACTATACTTGTACAAGGATGTAAAAACGACGATACCTTAAACCTTTTGAATAACGTAGTCTTTGTCGATAGTCTTCTTACCTAACATGGGCACATGGAAGGCCGAATTTTAAATTTCAAATAGGTTTTAATTATCTATTTCATATTTTGTAAAATTTTAAGGAATATTTTATTAACAAAATCTAACATTTGAAAGCGAGCAGTTGCAACACCGTACGGAATAAAATGTACGTGGAAGACTCCAGCGTGCGAGACTGTCTAAATGCTGCTTTTTATATCTCCTAATTTTACTGGTGAACTGAATTTTATGTGGCACATGTGCGAAGATCGTGATATTTAATAAATAAAGTTAACACGCAAAGGATTAATAATAAAAGTACAAAAAAAATTTTCTCTCCACTTTACTAAGGCTGAAAACAGTGATATAAGAAACTGAGAAAAGAATGAAAAAATATAAAAATGTACGCCAACAACTTAGAAGTACATCGGGAATTGTAATTTTTTTTAAATTAAATAAAAATGTTGTTATTTTGCGTTTGAATTGTACATAGCGTAAGTATTGAGAAAGCTATATTTAATAATGCAGCTAAAAAAGCAAAACCAATGGGTTAGCAGTAGTGAGCGCAGCAGCAGACCAATTATACTGAGAGCCCAGGCAGAGCGTAAAAAACTTTAACAAAAGCTTTTGGACGACCGTTAAAATCTGAAACCTTTCGGGCATTTATTTTTTTTCTTTCATTCCCTCCTTTTTGTGTATAGAAATTAAAATATTTTATAAAAACTTGATATTATGCTTTATTTTAGGTATTTTCTTCCTTCTTCCAGCATGCCTCCGTGGTGTAACGGTAGCACACTCGGCGCGTATCCGAAAGGTCCAGGTTCGAGTCTGGGCGAAGGCAATTCTCATTTTTTTGCTTCAAAATAACCAAATAATTCTACAGCTTTTAAGCAACAAAATACGAGCTTCTAATTTAAATTGATATAGTTCATCACTGGGTGCAACGATTTTTAACAGACTGCTTAAAAATGGGTTTTAAAATGTATTAAAAGTAACTATGTTCATTTATGCATTTAATAATAAAGTATTAACATTTTCCAAATGGGCTACTGAGTTTAACTTGAAATTATTTGGGGTTCACATTAAATACTTCTGAAGCCTATTTTTGTGGAGCATGTATAAAAATCCATGATCTTAGTTATTTTGTTTCAGTAAGGCGTTAAATTTACAGGTATGAAAGTTATATGTATGCAAAACTAATTATGTAGCAGATTTATGATACAGGAAATAAAGAACGAAACTACAGTTTTGCTTTTACTCATATAATAATAATAAATGGACTCATTGCGAAACAAGATCCTTTACTAATATTCCCGCAAATTTTCCTATCGCTATATCTCATCTTGTTACATAAAAAACATAAAACATTTCACATAAAGCATATCGCATATCACATAAGCATTTTAAAACACTGTTTAAACATTTTACTTTGTTGTACCTTACTATATTATAAAAAGGTCTTTACTAAAATTCCAGAAACTTAGTAATTAACGCCACTTATGATATTAAACTTAGTAATTTACGCCACACGATATGAAAGTCTGAACTGAACATTTTCCTTTTTGTTTGTGTGCCTGCTATTAGTGTCAAGCTCAAGCTCAGCCCACGCGGTTTCATTGGACCTAGTTGGGAACTGTGAAGGCTTCTGGTGCAATCCCTTCTTGAATGCTTCAGTGATTTTACGTCAGGGAAAAATTATTTTAATTTTCCTTACTGTTTGTAGAAAACCAGGCTACAATCGTATAAAAGGATAAAAGAGTTGCCTAAAACTGATTACGTCTCCTCACTCGTGAATTTGTGATAACTCCTAAGATGAAACTGCTATCCGTAGGATTACTTTTAGGTAAGTGGTATCCAACTATTATAAACGTACTAAAAATAAACTACTTCTGGGAACGTTAGGAATGATTGTTTACCAAATGATCATAAAAAATTATGTTTTGGGATTTATGTTGTGCTTTTCCAAGTACATTTATGCCATAAAATATTTTAGTGCATTTTACATATGACTTTCAGAACCTTACTTTTAGAATATATATATATGCTGGTTCATAGCGCTTAATTAGCAATTCTTACTGTTAAGTAATATTTTTAAAAATTAAATGATTACCCTTTACAGCTCGCTATATTGCTTAAAGTAATGTTATAAACTAGTAAATTAAAAAAAAAATCTGAAGGATTTCAGATTTTATACTACGCCGAAAGGGGCGTTTTTTTAATTCAATTCAACAGCAAAATACAAAATATTTTAAAGAGCATACCTTTAGAATTTCCGACACACAGTCTCGCGAGCTGGAGATAAAAATGTATATTTTCTGCACATTGTTGCCATTGCTCGCTTTCAAAGAATTAAGTTTCTTAATCAAAAATTCGTTAAAGTTTTATAACATATGAAATAGATAATAAAACAAATCCAAATTTCAAATTTGGGCTTCCAGTTGCCCGTATTCGAGTGAAGAACTACGTTATTCAAAATTTGATGGCTCTAGGTAGCGCAGAGTTTTCTCCCTATGCGAGAAACATACATGCATCCGCGCATATTGTTCATTACTTAATATCTTTAAATATAGTGCAGAGCTCTGATATTTGCTAGCAGCAATTTGAAAAGTGAAACGCTGTGTATAATGAACCATCGCAAATTGCCCTAACAAAATTAATATCCCTTCTGTGCAAATTGACCCTTTAAGCTAATTTATGTTGCTATATTTATTATAAAATTGAAGTCTAAAATCATAAAAATGCGTTTATATAGACGAATGACAAATAATAAAAAATTATATCTATTCAGAAATGTAGCATTTTCTTACTAAGCGAATACTGTTAAACTTACCACTCTCGAAAAGAATATTGAATTTAGAATTTATTATAAACTACAACTGCATCAAAATTATTTTGTCATGAGATATTTTGAAGTTCAGGAAAAACACGTAGGACCTCAACAGTAATGATTGAGGTTGAACATGAAATGAATGAGGTTAAAAATGTCTTCGATTTCTTCAAATGAAGAATTTAAGATGTAAATACTTATTAAAATGAGAATACATTTTAAGGAGTTTTTTAACAGAATAAACAAAGCAATAACTAATGCAGCTTTTAAATTTCTCCTGTAGTTTTTAATTATTTGCTCGGTGTGTTCTTTACTTATTTTTAGCAATTTGTTTTAAATTCCATTTTTGATTTAAAATATAAGATTTTATATAATTTTTAATGAGAAAAGTGATTAGAGATCTGAAGCTGGTTGAGAAAGAGTAGACAGAAAAAAGTGCTTGAAACTTGCAGTTCACTTTCAGAATGGACATCAGAAATTTACTTTTTCTCTGCTGACTGTTATCAAATGCCGTACATTAAATATCTATCAATTTGTATGATAAAAAATAAATTTTATAGTTTTAAGTACTTCAGCATGCAGCATTTGAAAGCACACCGGTTATTTGAAATGATTGCACACATTTTTAGGAATGCGAACCGAAACCTATAAAAAAGACAAGAGTAACTTTTTAAGCAGTCATCATTATACAGAAGTTAAAATTCCGGAACCAAAATAAAATATGTTACTTTATTTCAACTCATTAAATGGTTATTTCACTTGTTCTTATACTGAGGTTTACGCTGGCTAATAAATCATTATTATTATTTAGAAACTAACCGCTTGGGTATTCAGCAGCTTAAAAAACGTTATTATAAAAACACGAAAATGTATATTGTAGAATCATTAGGATTTTGGAAGTAGGAAACGGGGAAAAAGAGCAATGCCCTAGTCGGAACTCAAACCTGGAACTCTCGAATACTTCCCGAGTGTGCTACAGTTACATCACGAAGGCATTCATAAAGGAGGGGAGAAAATACTTTATATACTCCCCTTTTTGAAATGGTAATTATGACCCAGTCGCAAAATCCTGGTGTTGAAGAATCATCACCCACCACTTTTAATTAGGGCGCCACTACACAGTGATTAGGATTTTTCAAGTAGAAAATGAGCAATGCTCTCGCCAGGACTCGAACCTTGACCTCGCGAATACGTGCCGAATGTGCTACGGTTACACTCCGAAGGCATGTAGAAAGGAGAGAGAAAATACCTTATAATATCATTACTGGAAAATTCCAGCTAATTTAATATCACGAGTGCAACTAATAATTAAACTAATTCAAATTCTGCATTTAGGGCTTATAAATCGTTCTGTCTATAAATTAATAACAAAAAAAATGTGAATAAAAAATTAAATCTGCACACACGATAGCGCACCATTACGTAACTTACCGCGTGGAAGATAAAAATATTATAATTCGTACAGTGGTAATGCATTTCTTTCGGATCACTGAGTTACCTGATTAAATCAGAAAGATAAATATGTTGCGTTTTGCGGTGTGGCAACACACTTCGTTTATATCGCTGACAATTTTGGTTAAATTTGAAACGCAAATATATCATACTTTGTCCTGTGACAATAAAAAGCTTTTATATCGCTTACGTTTTAAACAAAAGTGTCTTTAATTCACACAAAATATGAAACAAATAAAAAATAAATCCGAAGTTAAAAATTCGGATGTTGGGCTGCTCAGGATCGGATGCAGCACTATGTGTACTCAAAATTTTGTGGTTGTATATGCCGCCATTTCTCCACGATATGGTTAATAGCAAAAGCCAAATATATTGCGTTTTTAAAGGGGCAACACACTTCTTTTATATATCTGAGTTTTCAAATTAAATTTAAAACATAAATATCTTACTCTTTTCAGAGTGGTAATGCAAAAAGTTTAAATTGCTGAGTTTTTAATCAAAAGTTTCTTAAATTCTCACAAAATATAAAATAAGTAAAAATTGGGACTTCGAAGTGCACAAGTATGGGTAGATGAAGGACTAAGTATCCTGAAAATTTTGTCGCTTCAGGTTCTGCTGTTTCTGTTTTACAATGTGAGAAACATACAAGCACACATACTTGCGCATTATTCATTACTTAATAGTAGAGATAAATAAGTAGTTCTCTGCATTGCGCACAAAATTCAGAATTTTACACTTTGCGTCAAATCAAGGCGCGTAATTATTAAAATATAAAACTGCTGAAGAGGATGCACATACTTAAACAATATATTTATGCTTTCTGACACTCGGTTTATTTATGAGATATTTTACTATGCTATAGGGAATAGAGAAAATTAACAGCGTTGACAAGCATATTGATATTAATTAACTTTAATGAAATTCCCTTTAATTCTTTATTAATTTATTTGAATGTGACAAAGCATGCGAGGGTATCTGCTTGCTTTAATTCTTTCGTTTGTCGGTTAGTGAGATAAACGTAACTATCAGCTATCCGATAAAATATGCAGTTGGTTGTTATATTAGCTTAATCTAACATGTTAATCTGGGAGATAATTTTTTTTAATATTGAAAATGAAAAAAAAAATTAGCGTAACTGGAATTTTTATTTACATATTCTAATTCTAACATGGTAAAAATAGACTATGCGAAATGTAATCTATTTTAGTTAGAAAATGAAATGCAAGAAGAAATAGACTGCATTTATAACCAGTTTATAGAGTTTTCTAATACAGCAATAACGTTTGAAAGACTGAATTAAATTTAGCTTTCATTCTGTCATATTAAATTAAAGCGTTTGTTTGTCATTACTAAATAGAAAAAAAATATTAGCATTATGAAATAAACCATCATATTATTCTGTATTTTATAATGTCGCGAAATATAATTGACTTTAAACTACATGTGGGTTATATCCGTTAGTGTAAAAGGAAATTACGAAATTGCGTAATGACATAATTGCATCATATTGCATAATTTTCAATTCTTAAGTGTTTAAGTTTTGATATCACGCTGCTGAATAGAAGCATTACCCATAGCATAAACTCAAGATTAACACATTTCTTGAGTGCTTACGTAAGATACTCTTTTACTTTTTTTATTATTAAAAACAGTATTCATTCAATGAAATGAGTTAAATTTGTATTTGCAAATATAAAGATTTATATATTTTAATAACAAAGAAGAAAAATTTTCTTACTTTATACTGTAAAGGTGAATTAAATCGATACGACTGTTTCGCGGTGGTCTCTTCTATACGGTAGTGAATAATATCAATCATCATAAAATTTTTGGTCTTACATTAATATCCATATCGTTACTGCTTATATTATATTTAATAACTTTTGCCTCTTTTCTAGGTGCCATTCCAGCACATCTAGAAGTTACTTTGTTCAGAATTTACCGACTTAATTATCCGACTTAATTATTATTTGAATCTCCGCTCATACTTACTCATACTCATACTTTCCGAGTAACTCGGCAAATTGTTAGTTTGCGCTTGATTGCAATGCTCAATCCACTGCTTTCTCGAGCTGTTCAGGTGGAGTCGACCAGTATCGTTTGGTGTTGATCAGATTCTCAGCTGATCACAGCACACACGTCAGCATCAGCTGAAAGTATAATTTCAACAACGCATTGTGAATTTTAAATTCTATATTAATGAATTTTATTTCAAATTCATTTTTTTCAATCGATACGGCAATGTGAAGACTGCATCGGCTTAACAGCGGCTGAGAAGTAATATCGTGAAATACTGGTAGTTCGATCAGGATTCGATTCCAGGAGAATTGGCTGGTTGCATGGGTGTTTTTAGGGATTTTCCCTATGTGTAAAGTGTATTCCAGCCAGTTTCCATTAGAAAGACTTCCACAAACGCATCCCCGCTCATTAAGCAGATAGATGAGACTAGGAGTGTAAGTTGCAGTAATAATAAAATAAAAAAATAAAAACGAAATGAAGACTTCACTTGATACTTATATCTTATTAAATTTAAACGTTCCGTTAACATATTGACATCTGTTTTGTGATGGTAAATAATAAAATAGTGTGCAAGTTGTATGTATTCCTAGCATATCTAATTTTTAATGTTTATAAATTCTGTTTGCTATTTTTTCCAAATTGCTGAAATTCTTAGTGCTGCTTGGAAATATTTCGCATATTAGTTGACCAACGAAATTTAAACCTGATGTTTCAGGTGTCAAATGTGCTCTAAATCAGGGCTTCTTAAACATTTTTCAGTCTCGACCACTTTTTATCACTGAGAGTTTTTCGCGACCCCCAAGACCCCATAATAGTTACAAAAATTTTGTGAAACCCCAATAATTATTGCGCAAATCAGACACACGCTTGAGCAAAACTATAAATTTTATCACATGTGCTGTAATATACTACCGCAGTTTTAGGTCATTAACTTTAATTTCTAATATTAAGACATAGACAATGTGAAAATTTTAAATAAATAAAAAACGAAATGACAGCGTCGCGTGCAAAGTAAGGAAAATGATTGTTTATATTATAAAAAGAATGCGTAGAAACGTTTTCGTTTTTTTTCTTGGTCTGTATTGCCTTATCTTTATGTATTTTCAGATATGTTGAGTAAAAATATTTGGTAATTGTAAAATTATTATAATAAGTTAAAGAAATATCAAAACTGTTAAAATTTTTGGCGACCCCCTGCTGCAGGTCTCGCGACACACAGTTTAAGAAAATCTGCTCTAAATTATAGAGAAAGTAATGAAAACAGTGTGATGGCATTTTGAAGGAAACGTTGCTTAAGTCTTCTATATTCTCTTTGTATACCTTAATATATGTATATATTTATATATAGGCAGTTTTATTCCTTTATTACATATTTCATCCGGCCTGCTACATTGAATATGACTACATTGGCTTTTCATGGCTTCCTGCATTGGTTTTTCATGAAGCTAAACACATAAGATGTAGACGGAAATGAATTTGGTGGGTGGTAGATTAAGCGAATCTACGTTTTTTTCGGCAGCTGTTATTTCTATGTGGTTACGAATCAGATCGAGCGGTAGAAAATAACCTCACTGTTCCGATTTTAAAGTAACTGACAATAACATTGCTTAATTTCGAATTCCAACAACAAAAATCAGCATTATCTTTGCAAACTTTCACAGGACTAGTTTCGATGGTTTTACCGAACCATCATCTTCAGCTGTCAAAACGTAAATTTTTGCAACAAACAAAACTTTGGTATGTGAAAGTATGATGGTTTGGTAAAATCATTGAAACTAGTCCTGTGAAAATTTGCAAGTATAAACGCTGATTTTTGTTGTTGGAATTCGAAATTAATACTTGTTCGGCTTGTTTTTTATCTTAATTATAACTTTGCTGTTTAAAAATATCCGTACTTGCACAGATTGTTTATTCTCATATGCAATTACCAATTTTAAATTAAGCAGTTTGGTTAAATGACAGTATTGTTAAAACATAAACTGGAATATTTTATGAGAAACATATGACCTGAAGATAAAAAAATTAAATAATGAATACGTTAAAAGCAAACTGGAAAGCACCAATTCTCAATTTATTATAATTTTAAACTTCATTAAAGCAGCTTGGGAAAACAGCAACGCAGAAAATTATCATAATTCACATATAACTTTCAAAAGCAATTTCAATCTTCTTTATGCACTATACTTATATTTCTCTGATAAGTACTTAATATCAAACTGGTCACTTTTAATAATAAAACGGACAACAATCGACCATTTGCCTCTTTATTACAACAAAGCTTCGAGATTTATCTGATTTAAAGAGATGCTATTGTGCAAAATTAGGCTGTGTTGCCACCGCCCGTTTTCAAACCATCGAGTTTGTTAATCAAAAATTCATTAAAGTCTTACAAAACACGAAATAAATATTGAAAACATATATAACGTCATTCTATGAAAGTATTGAATATTTTAAATTAGTTAGGTTATGATTAAAATTCACTTTTATTTTTCAGATCAATAATTCAAAAGCAAGAAGCGAATATTAAGAACTGTATCTATTGGTTTCAAATAACTTAGCGTGTTCATCCACAACAGACAGATAGTTTAAGAAACATAAATTTCTTATATTTTGCCGAATGGCAACAGACCTCGAATGAAAAGTGAAAAGACGTATTTATAGTGGTTCAATGCAAAATCACATTTCCAGACTAATAACACCTTTTGGGTTAAAAATGAATTACATAAAAATGGCAAAAATAAATCCATTTAAAATATAAGCATGTTAGATATTTTTATAAAAATTAACAACTTTCGTATTTAAAATGATAAAGGAAAAATATTTCCCATAAAATTGAAAGAGTTAGCGATTTGTTAATTTTATACCTGTTCATGAATATTAAAAAGCATTAGATGTTAATTAGGGTTAATATACTGAATTATATCATATAGCCTAAATTTTAATATTTTGCAGCTGTGGCTTCCTGTTGCTTGGCTGAGCCCCATTGCCACACGGTCGAGCTCATGAATTGCTTGGATATTGGCATAAATTGGCTGCACACACTGCCAAAGCGATCAATTCCAACAACGGACTCGGATCTTGATACTATGTGCCAGTAAGTATGCTTATTGTAGCTAAATTAGCATATTAATTAGACATAACGCTCAATAAATGTACAAGAATTGCTCAGCTGTTATAAATTGTTCCTCTGAAGCCAATTATTTCTTTACGCTTTAGGTATCATAAAATGGCTGGGAATTAAATTCACTCCCTTTGTGTAAAATACGTGAAAAATTCACCACCGCTATTTTTCATAAGAGCAAAAAAAATAAAATATTAGTGCTGGAAAATAATAATAAACAATATAATCATACAGTAGGAAGACTTCCTTGTATGGCCTATTAAATGTTATGCACTTTTTCCTACACTTAATTTAAATTTGTTTCCTCGAATTATTCTTACATAATTAAACGACCTTTAAAGAACATTAAAAATCACCTACAAAGTTGCTAATCTTGAAATTAAACATTCCGGTGAACTTTTATCGTACCGTATGAAATTTTCTTGGAAAGTACAGGCAGCAGGAGACCACATTAACATTGAGAATTCGTTATTTGCCATTTTATTTTAATTTGACATTCCAAAACATGAATATTTCGTCATTTAACACTTTGCAGCACAGTCTGTCCGGTCTGTCCATACCTAAAAATTTCCTTCTGTACGCACAGAAAATTGAATGAAAAGGATTTATACGTTACTATAGGTTACTGTGAACTTTCTTTATTTATAGTAAATGGTAGCTCAACACAAACCAGTCCATAAATTTTAGCCATGTTTAGTTTTTTAAGACCCTCATTTTTCAAAGAAATCTTTCAGATTTCTTTAGGGTATAAAAAGGATTGTTTGAAAAGAAATTTCTATGTTATTTTTTTTGGCTGTATGCTAATCTCCTTATTCTACATTAGGTTTAAGTTTTTACCTTAAAATCTTGTCTAAAATCAAACGGCGAACCCTAGGTGTGCCCAGACCGGGCTCACAGATAATCTAGGACAACTGAGAGTATTCTTTGTTTCTCCGCATCTCATCGGTCAGTTCATTGACGACAATTCTCATTTCAGCACTCTTTTCGAAGCTCTATTCAATCAATGTGCCACTTTGCGCACACCCACAGAATTAAAACGATAAGTGCTATCTTCACAAAATTTTACTTGTGCACTCCTCTAGGCCTAATTAGACTGCGTACTTTTTTTTAAATCAAAACTCCGACTTTAAAAGGTAGCGTGCCGGAAAGGGTTAAAACTCTTCTGTACCTGGAGGTATATCACTTCGGATAACAACTGCTAAAATAGAGCCTTGTAAGGACTTTTACGCCGGGTAAGGAGGTGGTCTATATGTATGTAATAGATTCTATAATAATTCGTAATGAAAAGCGAGAATTCTGATGTCGTAGAATACTGAAACGCCGAATCACAATAAATAAGAAATTTGCCAGTGAATGTATTTTTAATCCAAGTTTTATTTCAGTAAACATGTTCTTGCCACGATCAACTTGGCACATTAATTGTGTCTATTCCAAAAAGTTTACATTTTATATAAATCTGCAGTCAGAAAGAAGGAGCAGACAGATTGCAGTACAGCTAGGCCAAAGCGTAGAAAGCAAGTACATTATGTTTAGGGTGAAATCTTAATTCAAACGGAGTTAGTTTTGGTTTTCAATGCATTTTCATTGGATAGTTAACTTAGCTGTAAAATTACTATTGTATGTTTGAATTCCATCCAAATCATCAGAATTACGTAAGAAACAAATGACAAGATTATTCTCGAAATCACGCAGTGCAAATAGAAGTTACAATTTTTAGAATACAGAATGGAATTTAAGCTGCTAATTTTAATCTTTTAAATATTCTGCATTTTTCTTACATGTGTATGTACGTTTGGTACTAGAGCTTGCATGAAAAAGGGAGCTGCATAGTTAGATATTATAGCAGTCCCGTATAATAAATGTGTTTTTCTACGGCTAATCGTTTTTGAGTTACGCAAAATACATAGATACACAAATGTATACAAGCGTACGTCTGACGTACATACTGGCTTCATGAAAAAAAATCCCTTTTTAATCCACTTTAAATCCACTTTACATTGTAAAATGGATTTATTTTATCTACATGTACAGACGTCATGCAAAATAATTTATCTGAATGGATTCGGCAATGGTCAGCTTGGGGGTATTTCCGTTGAAATATGATACCAAAGTTTTTCTCCATTACAATACATTCTTTACTTTGTTCAAAGACGTAAAAATAAAATGCACCAATTTCCTGATATTACTAAGTCTAACGAGGAATATAAGAAATAAATTTAAGATATGATTTACAGTAAAACAAGCAAGGTTGATCTATATAAAATGTCGGTTGCTTTTGTGGAAGTAAATTGCGCATGTTCATATTGCATAAGAGAAAAATGCAAGAAAATTCATGGACTTTTTGATTAACCAAGTTTAAAACTTCAGTGAACTTTGGAAGATCTCCTGAATTCCGTAGTTTTAGTCATTTGTACCCTTAGATTGTTAAATAGCTGCTTCTATTTACATCTAAAGACATGAAGAAGCAAATAGTTTAGAAACTTTGGAACATTCACTGTAGCCTTACCGGGAATCTAATACGCATCATTCATAAATAACCATCTGTAGTATAAATTACTTTAATGATCCTCAACAGAGGCCATGGCCACTATACCGAACATGTTATTTATAGCGCACAATAGAAACTCTAACGAAATGTTCATTTTCAGAGAGCTTGATAAAGCTTTCAACTGTGCCTATAAATTCCGTGACACCTGTATGACCCCGCTGCAGAAAGAAGTTATAGCTCTGGTGGTGGAAGGAGTAATCGGTCTGAAAGAAGATTTCTGCAAGCCTGGATCTGACCTTCGTGCAAGTAAGTTCTTGGAATTATATTATTCTCACACAGCTGTACATAGGAAACTTCATGAAATAAATATATGAAATGCATAAAATATCATAATATTATATAAGGTATTTTTCCCGCCTTCTTGGCATGCCTTCGTGGTGTGGTGGTCTGCACGCTGGGTGCGTATTCCAGAGGTCCGTGGTTTGATTGCCGGCGAAGGCGTAGCTCATTTTTCATCTCTCCTTCTTTAAAAATACCTAATATCTCTACAAATGCAATGCATGAAACGAAACGAAATAGATAATTTAATACGGTCTAATGGTACAGAGAGTACGTTTACTGCCAAACAAGATATTTATAAATATATTTAAGACATTAGGATTTTTTTATGCGGGATTTAAATCAGTAGCATTTTTTTATGCGGGAGACGTGAAAAATTAGCAATGCCTTCACCGGGACTTGAACCTCGACCTCTCGAACACGCGCCGAGTGTGCTACCGTTACACCACAAAGGCATGCAGAAAGGAGGAAGAAAATACCCTATATACATCTCTATTTAAAGGGCGACTGAGGATTAGGAGGCCCATTCGCAAAATCCTGGTGGTGAAGAATCATCATCCACCATATCTTTTAATTCGGGTGCCACTGTAGGGTCATTAGAAATTTTGAAGCTGGAGACAAAAAAAAAAAAAAAAAAAAAGAACAATGCCCTTGCCGAGACTCGGACGTGGACCTCTCGAATACGCGCAGAGTGTGTTACTGTTACACCATGAAGGCATGGAGAAGGGAGAGAGAATATACCTCAGAAAACAACTAGCTTCTTATTTGTGTTTTTAAAAGAGAGTTCTAAATGGGTGAAAATGCGAAATTTCAAAGTAATAATTAGCTCAAATAAAGAAAAAACATTTCATAACTGATTGTAGTTTTGTTGAATCTCAGTCCAACATCATTAAAGCGTTGTTTATACAGCAACGAAATCGGTAGAATTGTGTTTGTTGGGCTTTAAGTTATGGAAACAGATATTATTCACGCCTCCAACAAGAATGGACTTAAAATGAAGTCATTAACAGGATTAATTTGTAAAATAAATAAAGAAATAAAGAAAGAAAGACAGAATTCAGTAGTATCAAAGAATCCAAATTCAGAGGCGAAGTAGTGCATGAAATAATATTAGCTTTCGAAAATTGAATTTTTGGCCGTTTTAATGTCTAAGAAACTTCTGAAATTTTCCTCCAGTATAATTTCTTTAATGAAGCATTTTCCACTCTGTTCTTGTCGTAGGTGTGGCTAAACTTGTTTCGAGTTCCATCTCTTTTTTCAAAAAATTGATAGTTTCTATGCCAAGCACTAGAATTTTTACAACGTTTACCACCATAACGGTAACAGTTTGGTAACGCCGTCCTAATTTCATAAAAAAAAAATAAATGCTTTTAATTAGGTATATCATGAATTAAACATGTTTTCATTTAAATCAATCAAATTTTAGAAATTAAAATATAAGATTTTATTTTATTGCTTTTAAATCTCTTTGTTTAAATAAATATCAATAAAATAAAAATTAAATTTCAGATTTAAAGTTCATATACCTTTGACGAAGGGCAACACACTGACGAGTGGAAAATTAAGCCATTTTATTTCTGGAAGTATGCTCATTTTGCCTTTAAATAAGAGATTTTATTGATTAAATATGGAAGATAAACAGCTCACATTTTGCTTAATGGCAACAGGCACACCGAAGGAGAAAAATGTTCTATTTCGAGTAGTGGCAGCACAGGGCTTTTAAGTCTTTGAATTTATAAATTAAAAATTTATTAAATTCGTACAAAATATGAAATAGGTAAAACCCAAATTGGATATTAAAAATTTGGACTTCGAGATGCGCGCATTCGAGTGAAAGAAGGTGTGTGTTCAAATTTTGGAGTTTCTAGGCACTGCACGTTTTTCACAGTATAGAAATGTATATCTATTATATAAAAATATGTTACGAGGGGGGTCGTTTTGGATAGGGTCATAGAAGAGTCCTTTATAGTGTAACAATTATTTATTAACAGGTTTAAGTTACACACGGACATTACATTTAAGAAAATTACAGCGCAAGAGTCTGATACAGCCTATCAGGTTAGACACTTGGCTTTTACTGAAGTACTTCTCTGGCTACTCACCAGAGGGCGCTCTTGTTGTTACAATTAGTCCAACAGTTTATGGTAGCAGCAGACATTACATTAAAGGATTAGTTGCAATGTTTTATTTGCTTTAGTCTTTATTAACGTCAAAAATGTATAAACTAACACTTTTGAATATTTTTTCAGAATATTTAACTCATGCATCTTGTCTGAATAAAGTATCACAGAGTGATGACATAAAATCTCAAATTGAGTACATGTTAGCTATTTTAGAGATGTCTGATAAAGTGCCAGTAAAAGACCAACTGACATTCGAATGCTGGTAAGTAAATTTTCCTTTCGCTCGAAATCGATTATAAGACATCAGTATGCAAAGAAATACTTCACAATATATTATAATAATTAATTTTTTGCCAATATATGATTATTATATGAATATTTTAATACGAAAGTATGAGGAAAATTACTCGAAATGAAACCAAGAAACTTAATTCAGTATAGAGCGTTATACTATAACGATTCTGGTTTATGGCGATGATTATTATAAACATATTATAATTAATATAGTTTTTGTGGTGATTAATGCATCATTAATTGGATCTGCTACTCGTTGTTCTGATTAATATAAAATTGCGAAACTAATTTCTTAAAATCCAAACGATAAGTCAATTTCAGCTATAACACTCTTTAAACTGTAGATGTTTCCCAATTAAATTGTGTAGCATTGCTTTGCACACAATGTACACTGAGCCAGAAGAAAAGGGACGGTTCTATATATCTCCTGTTCTACTGTGTCGATTGACAAAATTAAAATTGTGTTTTTCATGTCTCGAAGACACGACTTAGGATATATATTAGATTTATATATATCATTGTTCTAATATAAGTATTTAGACACAAAAGCGGATTTTTTTCTGAAATGGCATGCCAGATTTTCCATATTTCCATTCTACGACTCAAATTATGCCTAAATATTAAATTTTGTAAAATTTTGTGTAAAATTTATTGAGAAATTAAAAAAAAAATATCTTGACGAATTTTTTTTTTTTTTTTTTTTTTTTTTTTTCAGTTTGTGCCAAGTGTTTTCGCCAATTCACTTGGCGAATTTCTTAATATATGGCAACCTATTTTCCTTTCCCTTCCATAGTGAGGGAACGGAAGAAAAGACACATTGTTCCTACCTTTTTACATTGTGCATGAGCGGAAAAAAAGTTACTTCGTTCCTACTTCCAAATAATTTTAGCAAAGTGCCTAAGCTATATTTGATGTTATTATCGCTTTTAACAAACATGCCAAATTTCAAAACGCGCCAAAATGTAAATTTACGTATATCTTAGGAAATTTGGAATAAAAACAAACCCTAATTTTTTGCAGGTGTGCCTAGAAATACATCTACTTTAAGAGGATGTTAAAATTTTTATAGGTTATAATACAACAACGTTTTCTAAAAAATTATACAAAATTATTTAAAAATACAAATTTTAAAAATAAATCATAAAAAATTGGCGAATTTTATTTGGATTAAACCTAAATTTGGAATTCTCGAAGAAGGAATCTAGTAAGTTTAATTAATAAATATATATCAAATTCAATTAATATTGCGGAGCTAAATCTTTAGAGTTAATATTTTTAAAAATGTGCGATGTTAACCCAACTTGGAAGTTTGGCATAATAAGAAAATTTCCGATTTTGTGTGAAAATACCTATATTAGAACAATGTTATATTTAAATATAATACATATCCTAAATCCGTGCTTTCGAGAAATGAAAAATGCAAGTTGGAATTTCGTCAATCGGCCCAGTAGAACGAAATCTGCCCTCCTTTTTTTTCTGCAGTATACATAATGTTACACAATAATGTTACACAAATAAAGGTTAAAGGAGTTTTATAAGAAAATATGGGCAGCAAAGTACATCGCAAAAATCGAAAGCAGGAATTTTGATTGCCAAAGTTTGAAAAGAAATACAGTTACGTATGCTTTTTATTTAGTATTTGTACACTATGTAACCTATATGTCACTGAAACATTAGTAGGAAATTCGAAAGAAAACATTAGTAGGAAATTCATGTAGAATAGGATATGTTAGTTTCAGTTCGACATAAGCCACTATGGCAGCCTCGAATATAGAAATGAATTCCCTTTTTACACTTTAATGATATATTTTAACAGTATTTTAGATATTCTAAAAATGATCTAAACAGTTCGCAAAAAGAAATATGAATTATAAACAGCTACTAATTGGCATATTAAAGAATATATGAAAGCACAAAGTAGCATACACTAACATAACTTTAATTAATCAGCGGTAAAATATAGTAATTTAATGGTTGGTCTACAAATAAACTGCCATTTTTAAACTCATGGAGTTGCATCATGAACGCATAGACACGTGGTTGGAGACTCATAGATATGTTTGGACTATGGCATATTATTTCCTATATGCATCATTGACTCATAGACACGTACAGTTGCATCATGGCATAGCATTCCCTATATGCAGGAAAACTGGAATGTGAAAACCAGTATTCGAATTGTACACGAAGTATTGTTGTGTTTAAAAAGAAAAAAAAATAGAAATTGGAACAAGCTTTTCTTTCCTTTAAAAAACGCTACCAAGTAATGTAAGAAAGAAATACCGAAAATATGAAAGGATTCAGATTTCAACGTCACACCAGCGAGTTTTTTAAGCTTTTTATACTTGCACCAAGCATTACAGGCTTTAGAATTCCCATTATAGTATCAGGAGTTGCCAAACATATTTTCTTTATTCAACGAGCGGCTATTCTTTCAAAAATAGCCGCTCGTTAGCGGGCTGAAGTCATTATCATAAAAAATGTAATAATTTAATGAGTCTAGTTAGTGTCATTTCATAAAATATTTAATATTTCTGATTAGACATCTAATGATTTTATGCATTTTTACTTAAACTGCGGCTTGGACCTCTCGAATACGCTCCAAGTGTGCTATTATTACATCATGAAGGCATGCTGGAAAGAAGAAGAAAATATAGTTCTAAAGAGTCCTTCAATAACGATTTTTCTTCTGACAGTTCTTTAGGTTTGACATTAATTTCCTTTAGCTCAAGAGTCTCGTGACTCTAATACTGCAGACTAATAGGGTGGGATAAGATAATTAACTCATTCAGGACGGGCGTCCCATATACGCATTCCCTAAGAACGCCTCTTACAGCCGGGCGTCGCATCCACGCATCAGTAAAGATCCCATTCAGAGGACGGGTGAGGCGTATACGCATTTTAAGGTGGAACGTTTTTCTGAAGGCCACTAGATGGCATCCTGTGTCCATTACTTTTGAAATGAACACAGTTTTAGGTTCCTGACTTTCAGTTTGATATATTCTACTTGACTTTGGTATTTTTCTTATCAGCTGTTCGAGGGGGGGCGGACGGAAAGCGTAAACAGAGATGGGCTCTTTAAATCGCTGCGTGCTAATGAAAAAATTCTCGTATCTGATTTATATCCAATTCCTTTTTTTTATTTTATTTTTTTCTTCTACTATGTACGGATTTTTAGGGTTACTGTGTGGAGTTTTTTTACGTTTTGCATTGCCTTCAGATATATTTCCGTTCCTTCTTTTTTTTATTTAGGCCTCACCTCCAGTCTATTATGGCGGGAAGGCGCTATTTATCAGAGGAAGAAGAGTATGGTTAGTGAACCATTTACTAACGCAAATGAGAGTACTGATTCATTTTCTAAAGAGTTAAAAAGTGATACTTTTTCTAAGAGTTACAAAGTGATACTTCTCTGTGCTTCGAGATTTACCACACTCGTTTTCATTTTAAATTTTGTTACTTCTTACTGTAAATAGTCTTTATTGTGTTCTTTTTATTAATTTTAAACTTAATTGATGGATTTTTATCAATTAAAACTGTGGAATAATTTGAATAGCGCTTCCGAAAATTATTTTAGAAGATAAGCAATGTTTTAAGTATATTTTCATGTAAAATACAGGAAAAAAAATTTTAAGGGCTAATTTTAACATATATAAGAGCTCAAGTAATAATCTAAAACGATACCAAAAATTACGATGCTAGAAGCGAAACTTTTGTTTTTATGATTTTTGTTATAAAATTAGGCTTAGCGATGCAAACCTCCGTCCTGTACGGTGACTGCCTTCGATTCTCTTCCGTCCCGCACGAGCGTTTTAAACAAAGGTGCGCCTTCGCGAAAAGGTTTTAATAGGGTGCGCAAATTTTTATAGGCTGGGATAAAATAAGGATAAGATTAAAAGTGTGGGATACGTACTGAGTCACTGAGAAACAGCATATTTATGCATTGAAATGAAAATTTCATTGTTCATTCAATACATAAATAGCCATGCTTAAGTAATAAATTACTGTATTTGAATCAGTATTCGAATATACTCAACTACAATGCATTTTACCTGCTTCGCATTTTCTGCATAAGAATATATGTGAATATAATTTACAAAATTTACAGTTGATCACTTCAGTAATTTAATATTTATATTTTCAGTGGCTATGCAAAGGTTACCAATGTTTTCATGAAAATGGGCACAGACACATGTGGCAAAGAGGCAGTCGACACGGCTTCAGAGCTGATTAGTTTAGCTGTTGCACAACTTCCAGATGTAGTCTGCAACGGATTTGACGGCGAGGCAGACGAATGTAAAGCTCTATTACCTCCAGACGGTGCAAAATCATCCGAAGACCTAAAGAAAACAGCACTTTATCAGTTTTTGAGAAATGTATTGAAAAATTGGTTGGTTGATTAAGACTTATCATAATTTGTTTGTAAAAAACTGAGCTCATATTTTGTTAGAAATGAAAAAAGTCTGCATTATTGCTGTTGTTAAATAAAAAGATCTTATTAATTGTTTTTGTTTCAGTTATAGCCAAAGAATAAATATCATGTATAAAAGAAATTCAGCAAACAACAACAAAAAATAAACAGTTTTTTACAGAATTCAGTATTTCTCATTCAATTAATTCAGTTCTCACTTTGCGACAAGTCAAAAATAAATTAAAACTCAAGATGTCTGTATTGAAAATTATGAAGTAAATCTTAAACACTTATTTCCACGAATAAATTCAAGAATGGATTAAGCATGATTTAATTCGCAATAATAAAAGAAGGCGTTATCTTAGTTATTGCGAAGCTTAATTTCTTTAGATTGGCAACAAATCTACTGTTCTGCTGTTTCAAATGTAAACAAGAAATGGCCGCCATGGAAAAAAATATTAGGCTTAGCGGCATTTAAAAAAACTTTTAAATTCTAATCCAGAAGTCAAACAAAAAACAGCGTTACATTTTCAAATGTCACAGGACTAGTTTCGATGGTTTTACTGAACCGCCATCCTCAGCTGCAAAAGCGCAAATGAACGAAATAGGATATAATGATTAGATAAGATAAGAAAGCCTGGAGATTAGATAAGCTCGTGGCGCCACTGTTGATGAAACTAAAACTAAAATATAATTTCTTTAAGGGCCGAAGGCAAAGATGGATTGGAATTAGGATCGTTAACTAGAACAGAAAGATTTTTTTGAATGTGAAATGCGTCTAGAAAATCCAGTTTTCTAATGGAAAATGTTTTTTCAAAAATTTAAAATTTTGACGCCACTAGCTTATTTTCTGTCTAGGCTTTCTTAACTTATGTAACTATCTCGTTCATTTGTTCTTTTGCACCTGAGGATGGTGGTTCGGTTAAACCATCGAAACTAGTCTTGTGAAAATTTGAAAATATAACGCTGATTTTTGTTGTTTGACTTCTGGATTAGTATTTGTTCGGCGTGTTATTGTGTTTTAACTTTAAAATTGTTGATAGTTCTAAACATATTGCAGACAGATTTACTAAAGTCATAAAAATCTTAATCGGAAGATAAGAACAACATAATTCAATCATTTTAAAGCAAAAAATGCACACTTTACAAACATATAAGAAAAAAAAAAACTGAGATCACTGAGCCGAGTAACAGAGTTGATATATATATATACATATAATTATATACTTTAACATATCACAAAAAATTGAAATGTAATAAACGAAAATATCCCTTAAAATTCAAATTTTGAGAAATTATTTCGGTTAAAATTATGTTAATTAGAATAATTTAGTAGTAGTGGGTATTTTGTCACATAGCACAAATTAGTCAAAAATTTATGTGTTCACGTTTGTCCATGATTGTTTTGATAAAATTAAACCGAATGATAAAAGTAACGACAAGGAAATTTGTTTCGAAATATCAATGGACTTTAATTAATTTAATATAAATACAACAAGAAAAATATGAATATTTACTTTTATAGTATTTTAATTAGAGTGTGGAATCATTAGGTTTTTTTCAATAGATGGAAACATGAAGAATATGCAGTGCAGTCGCCAGGACTCGAACCCTGGTCCTTTCGCATACGCGTGGAGTATGCTTCAAATTGCACCACAAAGGGATGCGAGAATGAGGGAGAAAACACTTTATCAGAGAAAAAGATCATTAATATTTTACCGCTTATAAATCTTGCGCAAAAGTTTATTTTTTGAACTATTTGTAATGCTTTTGGAAATTATTTATACAAAGCTGCACATCTAATCTGAATAGTCATATGACATCCCTGATCTCAGCATTTGTAAGATATTCACCGGTTTGTTCATCCCCTTCTTCAGAATATTTTATCTACTAATGCGTTTGGATTTGTTTCTGAAAGCGACGAGTAGATATATTTTTATGTTATTGAATCTGCAGCCTGAGATATCTCATCAACATCCCCTGCACTGTTAAATTGCTAACAATTCTTGGAAGTTTGAGGCACTTTTTATTCTACGTCTTACTTTATTTTATCGTTTATCAGAAGTTTGGCATACTTAAAACAATTCTTTATTATATTTTTGGAGACGCGTTTCCAAGACTTTAATACTGCATTAAATCAAAATTAAGATGCTTGACGAATTCAAAACACAGCTTTGTCATCTGGTGAATTCTTTGCTCCGGTTTGAAATGCCATTTTATTTTTTATTTGACTGCATTTTTTCATTTTGAAAATTTTGTTCCGTAAAACATTAACCGTCTTGTTAATCACAATAAACGATATATTTTCTACTTCTGCATTCATCGTCAACGCATTTATATTCATCAAGAGATTGTTCATACAAACGGAAACCTTTGGCTAGAGTAAATGCGTGAGTCTCGTATGTTTTACTTATCATTTCAAATGAGACTTCTGTTGTTTTTCTTGCTTTACAGACAAGCTTTATTTTTTACTCAGTATTCTTAATCTTAAACACAGTAATCTTTAAACACAACAATTAAATATTAATTGTAAAACTAAAACAATTCCTCCTAGCTTTGACTGGGAACACCCTAGAGGACGAGTCTGAGGGTCTCCCTTTCCCCCCTTATCGCAACATCCCCGGGCACATTCGGCTCAATTTGTATTTTAAGCGTCTCCATGTTGCACAGACAAGATAGATTTACAAATATTCACGATTTTTCGGGGTTCGAACCGGGCCTTTCAGTACGGCAGTCAGCGTCATTAACCAATTTTCCGTCTGGGCAGCATGTCGACGAATTCCCTGTTGAATTCAAACGATTTTCCAGCAACGATGAGCTGACTGTACTTTTTTATGAAACAATTTCATATCGCATGCAATCTAAGCTATCATTTTATTAAGCACTAGTGTGGCTGCTAGTCTCAAAACTCACTTTTTTTGTTCACATCTCTTTTTAAGTGCTGCTACAAAATATTATCGGCATATATTATTTTTTGAAAAAATAAATAGCGACTGTAAAAAATAGAGACACGATTAAAAGGATTTCGCACAAACGTTATTTCTAAGTATTATTTTTAAAAAGGTAATAGCGAAAACAAATGTACGGCAATATTTATCCCATTAATCGGAAATTCTAAAGATACCTAATATAAAATATTTTCAGCCTCCCCCAACGCCAGTTTATTGCCCTTTGGTGAAACATAAGATATTGTTTCTTTTACATTCAATTTGCCTGTTATTGATTAACAAACTAAACGATTTAAAACCAATAAACCCGGTTTTTATCTATTGTATTAATTACCAGGTTAACTCGTAAAAATGACTCTTGCTGGATTTATTAAAACTTTACATTTTAATGCAGCTATTTTTATAATTTTTATATGAATATTTTAGACATGCGACGGAGGACGTGGGCACCACCCCTCTACCAATACGGTTAATCGGTATAGCGCCACGTCCACCTTTATCTAGATAACCATACGTGTTCATTGTGCTAATATACTAATATATAAACATACATACAAATTTGGTACTTCATACAGTGGCGTTAAAGCTAATTAATGTTAGACACTGGATAATACATTGCCATGTTACAAGGTGTATGCAAAAGCATGGATACGGTAGCATATATACATAACGTGTGTACTCATATGTTGAGTACACTGTGATCTTTGAAGCATTATCATTAGATTACAGAAGACATGTACATACTGAAATATTAGGTGAGCAATGTTATGCTGGAATAAGTAATTAGTACAGTGAATTAAAATTTAGACCCTAGATTAGTACTGTGTGGTACAGTGTCTTGCTACTGAATAATTTGTACTGTTTCCTAAGCACATTAACCAATGTACAAAGATATTAAAACATGTGTATTAGGTACACAGTAATTAGTGGATACCCAAGCGTTAGGTAAGTGCTACTTTAACATACATTAACAATAGGTACTTAATACAATGCTGAACAGATATTTGGTGCAATTAATTTTAGAGTGGGGCTCTAGTTAGTTCTTTGCGATACTGTGTGAGTTACAGGATAAAATGCGCAGATGCATAGTTACATTATCATATATACAGAACATAAATTCATATACATATATACAGACATTTTGTATACAGAACATAAATTCATATACTTATATACAGACATTTTGTATACAGAACATAAATTCATATACATATATACAGACATTTTGTGTACAGACACATTAGGTACATGATTATTCAGGGCGTAATAGATGTATATTAACTATACAGTGCCAAGATATGTGATAACACTAGTAGATACATGGGTACAATTACATATATACAAGGACATACACAATTACATATAGACAAAAGCGTATATGTGCTTATATTTGGTACATAATAGTAATTGGTGACATAAACATTTGGTACTTACTTCATATACTTAAACTCTAGACCCATAAAATAATGTTATAACTAGTAATAGGTGCTTATTAATTTCATAATAGGACACTAGGTTGATATTTTGCCTTACTGTGTCACGTTACGTACAAATGTATGCGGGTGCATGGGTACAGCTTCCTATTTACAATGCTATACGTTTTCCTATTTACAATGCTATACCTATTTACAATGCTTATATCATTCGATTCCATAATCAATAGTTACATGGCACATTTATATACATGAGCAGATGGTACAGTGTAGAGTGCCGTTGAGGATAAATGATGCAATTAATTTTATAGTATTTTAAAAATAATGCATTTATACGCAATTATAAGGTGCATAATTGTCATTGGGTACATATACATTAGGCGCATAATACATATACATATTCATATATTAGTTTCTTAATACAATGCTAGGGCAAGTAATTGGTGCTGTTATTTTTACATGTAACATGATGCTGTAGGCGATTGGATGGATAAACTAATATATATACTAATATACATATACACAACTTTTAGGCACATAATAATCACTAGATTCTCAGACATTAGGTACATGGTATACATATACATATATAAACAGATGGTTCATAATACAGTGCTATGGAAAGTATAAAATGCAGTTAATTTTATAGTAAGATTCTAGTTTAACACTATGCGAAACGTCTTCATGTTACACAGTGTTAAATACTGACGCATGAATACAGTAATATTTCTACTTGTTAATACTATATATGTAAAAATATACAAATATTAGGTGCATAATTAACATAGGATACATAATTATTGGATGCACTATGCATATACGTACATAATACATAAGATTAGTACAATGCTGGAACAATTCATTGGTGCTGTTAGTTTTAGTGTAAGATCCTAGTTTAACGCTGTGTGGTACAGTGCCATGCTACAGGATGATATGCGCCGAGTCATGGATTCAGTTATATACATACTAAAACACGTATACACAATTATTAGGCACGCAATAGTCATTGGATTTATAAGCATTATATACATGGTACATATACAGACGATACATAATATATAAACAAATATATATATAATATATATAATAATAATGCTATAGAAGTTAGTTAATGCAATGGATTTTTTAAAATTAAGACTTTAGATTAACACTATGCAGTAAAGTGTCATGTTGCGTGATGTTATATTCGGATGCATGGTTACATTATCATACATACGAGGATATATATACATAATATTAGGCACATAGAAATCACTGGGCTCACAATCTTAATGCACATAGTACCTTAGTCTCGTAGACTTGAAAGTACGTAATAAGGTTCAATTGGTGCTATTAATTTGATGATGCTAAATAATATTAATACAATAATGCAGCAATGATTAATACAGTTAATGATCAATACAGTAACATTTATACTAGAACATATATATACAAATACAAGGCGCATAATTACATTAAGTGTAGAATCATTGGGTGCATTATACATATGCATAACATAACTACATGGTGATGGTACTTAAGATACATTTATAAACAGGTACAGATGGTCCTTATTTACATATTGCGGTACTGATAATAGACATAATTCGTTTGGTTGGCATAATGCAAATTGATTAAATAGTTGATTCTTGCTATATTACTAGGAGTGTTGGATACTCCTTCCGATAATTCACAGTTACTTTGTGGTGTTGGTAGTTGGTGCTAGACACTGAATTACTATTCGTCTATATGGCTGACTAAGTATGGCACAGGTCTGTGTCAAGATCGGCCAGTTTATCCATTAAAAGCCCTATTTTTCTAACCAAGTGCCTCTGTTTTATCAAAAACTTACAGAAAGCTTGTCGATTGGTCGACGGAAGGTTGATGTGTAGCCCTTCTGTAAGGGGACAGGAGGTCAGATAATGCTCCGGAGAGCCAGTCTGTCCACAGGCGCACTGGCTAGTGTTACTTATCCCGCGTTTGTTAAAGTACTCGGGAAATGGTCCGTGACCCGTAATGTATCTTACCAATTGCATGTTTGCAAAATTTTTGGTAGTGTCCACGTAGCTGACATGGTAATAAGTCCGTCGGCCGGTATCGCTGTTATCCCATGTCTGCTGCCATTTCCCGATTGCCTTTAAGCGCAATGTTCTTTTCAGGTAAGACACTGGCCATGGGATGTTGATTTGTTGAGATGTTGCTCCTGTGGCAGCTTCTTTGGCTAGATGGTCAGCCAACTCATTGCCGTGGTGGCCGGCATGCGCTTTGATCCATTCAAGTCTTGTATGGAGTTGGGAATTTTTCGCAGATCTTCCTGTATTCCCTGAATAATATCGGATGGGTGGTCAAGGTTTCCTATTGCGTATAGCGAAGAAAGACTGTCTGTCTTTATTGTAGCGTTGCGGGAGTGGTGGGATTGCAGGTAGCGGATTGCTTGCGCAATTGCCACTGCTTCTCCCTGAAAAACGCTATTAAATTGCCTTAGTTGACCCTTCCATTGATCTATGACTGTATCTTGCAGCATGACCACATAGGCACTTCCGACGTTTTCGTCTATCTTCGACCCGTCAGTGAAGATGGTAATCTGTGCTGGACGGTGGGCCGTAGTTGGATTGGTAATTATGCTTATTCCGGTGCCTTTGGCTGCTGGATGGATTTTCAGAGGGCAGCATTTAGCTTCATAGTCCTCTGGATTAAAATATTCTTCGTCAAAGGTGACAGGTCTTTTAAGCTGCAGGACGATTTGTCTTGCTGCCTCCTCTTCGACACGGATGTGTAGGAGAAGGAGGCCATCCAGCACGTTGATCGCATCTGAAGAGGTCGTGCGGTAGGCTCTGGTGATACCTAATGCAAAGGGTCTTTGAATGGTAGAAAGGTGTTTAATTTTCCTGCTTTGCATTGGGTGAGCCCATCCTGCTGCTGCATAAGTGACTATCTTTTCCACCACTGTGGTGAAGAGAACCTTCTGAATATGAGGATTGAGGCCCCATTTGTGGCCATGAAATAATCGCATTTGCTTCGCTATTGTCACTGTTCTAATTTTGATGTCCTGGATGTGTGGTATCCAGGTCATCTTGTGGTCGAACGTAAGGCCCAGATATTTTAGTTGATTGACTATTTGTATCCTCTGATTGTTGATCTTAATGGTTGGTCTTCTTGAAAGAGAACCTCCCTTTTTAGGTATTAATAACACTTTGGATTTGTGCTCTGCAATTTTCAGTTTAAGGTTGTCACATAGGGCGTAGAACTGTTGGCACACTTCGTTACAGTGAGTCTCTAATTCTCTTCGGGTTCGACCTTTCACTATTAACGCTGCGTCGTCTGCGTAGGCGTAGATCTGGGTGTGCGCTGGCCATGTAGCTGTTAAGACTTCGTTGAAAGTTAGATTCCACAGGCTGGCCGCACCATTAGTATGAAAGTGAAAGGATAGTAGTGACTTGAGTAAAAGAATCAGAATTAGCTGTTGGCTTTAATGCGGATTTAGCTGTTCTAAAAGATGCTTATAAACGTTGCTATGCTACTAACGTGTATAGTCATTCTTACCTTCTTCGGGAACATGCAAGGACCTGACTCGGAACAGAGAGCTTACTAAAGCTATGTTCAAAATGTGGGAAGTAGACAGGATACACAAGGGTATACAAAACCCTTTATTTTTCTCTATTTACAATGACTTCCGTACTTCGGAATACAATGACCCTACTTGGGGTCTAAACGTAAAATATAAAAATAAAACTAAACTCTAATTTAACTTTAGAATAATAAACGTGGAAGATTGGCCTTATAATAACAGGAAGCGTATGTAGTACAGAGAACTGTGAACACTACAATACGTTTAAAATTTATCAAGAGGATTAAAACCTCTGGCCTGGAAGGCAACCAGCAACTGCGTAAAACTTCTAAGGTAAGCGGCCTGCTTCGAACTCAACTGCTTCCTCTCTCTCTCTGCTTGGCAAAAAGCCACAACTTAAATACTTGGCGTTCGCCAGACAAACTTTGCATAAAAACCTTAAAGCTTATAATTCTGGCCGGAAGTAGAAAATAAGAAGTGATAGTAAAGATTTAAAATAAAATAAACGTTAGTAAAACTTAAGATCCTTACATACTTCCCGCCAGAGTTAATTAGTTTGAAACTGAGGTCTAAAACGACCTTGTTGAAAACTTTTAGCTCTAGAATCTAACGCGAGGCCAATCTTTTACAAACATTTTCGCTAGAAACTAGAAATTTAAAAGAAAGAAATTTGTTTTTACAATAGCAGCTCCCAGGATACAACAATTTTTTTCATCTGTACTGCATCTAAACAGGAGCTTTTATTCAATTCTGGTTCCTTCCAGAGATCTGGAAGGAAAACTAGTTTAATGAAATGTTACACAATGAAATGGCAAGTAACATGTATAATTATATTTCTCTTAACATTCTTATTTCATTCATGACTATTTTAATTATCTCTCCCCGTGCTCTCTGACATGTGTTGTAAAAAAAACACCAAACACGAATGTGTTTCTGTCTACGTGTTCAACACTTCCTCCTACAATCAAAACACTAACGTGTTAAAATTCAACATAACAAGACCTCTTAACACACCCTAATTTCAACTCTAAACCCTGAGGTACTATTCTGAAAGTGGCTAACTCTGAAGTGTAGCGTCAGAGAGCCTAACTACATCATTCATTCAACCTTTAACACATATTCACCATGATTTAACTCTTTTTACAGTCACACGAATAAAAAAAAATTTACTTTCACTTTTACCATATCACGGTATTTCTTAACATTTAAAATAACAGTTCACATTGTATATAAGAACATATCAACATGCCGTTAATTTTACACATTTGAAAAACATACATTAGTAGTACATTGTTAACTTCTATTCTTTTCAAAGCAAGTGCCAATTCTTTCTACATTGAAATACTACATTTCAAAAAGTCTTTCAGACTAAAACTTCTTTCTTGCCAGAATGTTTTAAATAAAATTTATACAATAACTTTTTACAATATTTAAGTCTTTACACAACGCTATTATACATCAACTTTAGTTTTACGCGCGAGTAATTGAAAAACATAATACCAAAATCGGTAACAACTCATTTCTCGCCCTTTTGGCGATAAAGGTAGACCTCGCATGAGGTAAAACTTCTTGAAATCTGCCACTTGCAGTAAGAATGAAAGATTAACTTAAGTTTGCAAAGTAACATAAAATTTTACTTATCTTTGTGATATTCGGACATCCTTTTCTGGGCCCAGTCCTTTAAAGGTATGCAGATAGTAGTTTGATTTATCCTCCTTCTTGTACGGGCTCGCCCTTCAGTGCCTTCCTCTGGAAGCTTCCTTTTTTCATTCCACCAGTTCGGTCACCCTTGAATTTCTTTTCCTCTGCTTGTGGTCTTGGCCGTTTGATGGCAGCTGGTCTTGGCGGAACCGGGAAACTTCTGTCGTGTCCTGCTTGGACCTCGTTGCTGGCCGTTCAAATTTTCCTTGTAACTTTTCCTCTCCGCCGCTGATGGCCCTTCCGCAGTTCGGCGACATTTGCTGCGGAGAGTCCTGTCGGATGAGTAGATCTTCCGTTTTAGAGCCGGGTTATAGTTGCCGTCATTTCTCCTGGTCTCTTTGCACATACGTCGTCCTTCTCCCTTCTTCATTCTGGGGGTGTTCGTGAACTCTCTTTTCTGGACGGTGGAACGGCTTCTTTTTCTTGTTACCTTCAATTTTCCAACCGCGGGGAATTTTCTTTTCACTTGCTCCTGCCTCTTAATGGCTTGCCCTTGTACTTGTCGTTTTTCCACCTCTGGAGCTTGTGCCTGCGGTGTCTGCCGTGCCGGATCCTGCAAAAGATCTGAAAATATTTGCATTTTATTACGATCATAAGTAGGGTTTTATTTGATCAATGTTTGCGGAGCAGGTTTCACCATTTCTGGCTTTTAACACTACTACAGCGTGAGTTATTTTTTCTATAACATATGGTCCTTCAAATCGTGGAAAAAATTTGGCAGTTTTATCTTCTGGTGCTGAAGAAAGTGAATGCTTAATTTTTAAACTTCATCCCCTACTTTATAAGTTACTCCCCGTCGTTTCAAATCATAATAGAGCTTCTGTTTTCTTTGTGCTACTTCAGTATTCTTTTTGCTTCTTTAATTAGTTTTTCTATATCACCCATTTTAAATTCTGGGGCTCTTTGTTGCACATAAAATAATTTATCTAACTCTAACGGCGTTATAATCTTTCTGCCTAGAAATAACTCAGCAGGAGTTTTGCCCGTTGTATCATGTTTTGCGGTCCTAAGGGCGAAAGCAAATTCATTGACATAGTTATCCCAGCTTTTATGAAAATTTTTAACATAACTACGGATAATTTTCACTATATTTCTATTGACCCGTTCCGCTATATTTGATTGCGGCCGATACGGGACCATTTTTAAATGACGTATGCCCAGTTTTTGGCACATGTCTTCAAATATATTACTTACAAATTGAGGACCATTATCCGATATAACTTTTAGGGGCGCCCCGTATTTTAAAATATATTTATTTAAAATAGAATCAGTAACTAATTTCGCGGAGGCTCGTTTTAAGGGAACAATTTCGGTCCATTTACTAAAATGATCAACCATAACAAGGAGATAGCGACTTTTATTTAACTGACTTTTTGGGAAAGGGCCCAATAAATCGATGCCAATTATTTCATTTGGAAATTCGGATTTAATACTATTTAGAAACCCGGCCGGGCGGAAATTAATATAATTAACTGCTTGACATGTTGGGCAGGACTGGACATACGCCCTTGTTAACTTTTGCAGTTCAGGAAAGTAGACTGCCTCGCGTACGCGTTGGATAGTTTTTTTTCGAATACCAGCATGAGAAGCTAAAGGGCTGTCATGGAGCTCCTGCAGGATATTTAATCTAAGACTAGCTGGGATAACAGGTCGAAATTCGTTGTTGGAATTCGTAGTTTTTGTATAAATAATAGACCATCTATTAGTTCGTAATGGGCCGCCCTATTTCTTATCGCCACAATATCTTGGTGGCTAAAATTTTCAGGATCCTTCAAATACTCATAAATGCTTCCAAACTCAGGATCCTTACCCAGTTCGGTTATTACAGTTTCTCGGGAATTTATTGTACATGCTGTGAGCATTGCCACCTTTACGGTATTACCTGTTCATCTATTTTAATTCTGATAGGGCATCTGCTACGATATTTTCCTTTCCGGGGGTATGCTTGATTACCAGATTATATTCTTGCAGCTTGAGTGCCCATCTTATTAACCTTGGGGATAAATTTTTTCCCTGAGTACAATCTAGTTACCGCCGCCGCATGATCAGAATACACTGTTATCGGCGCCTTTCCAAAATAGACTCGGAACTTTTGCACTGCTAACAGAACTGCAAGTGCCTCTCTCTCGGTCGCGGAATAGTTTCTTTGTGTTTGATTTAAAGTTCGGCTAAAAAATGCCACGGGCTGCTGATTTTGCGAAAGTACCGCTCCTACCGCATAATCCGAAGCATCCGCTGAAATTTCTAAATTCTCATCCTTTTCAGGAAATTTCAACACAGGGGCTTGCGTTAATGCTTGTTTTAATTTTTCGAAAGCACTATTGGCTTCGGCCGTCCACGAGAATCTTGCCTTTTTCCTTTTTAATTTTAACAATGGCTTCAGCGAATAGCTGCAAAATCTTTTATAAAGGACCTATAATATGAACAAAGTCCTAGAAAAGAAGAGAGCTTCTTTGCCGTGTTTGGAGTCGGATACTTTTGTACAGCGATTATTTTTGATTCGTCTGTCTCGATTCCTTTCTGAGATATTTTGTAACCTAAATATTTTAATTCAGGGGCTGCAAATTTGCACTTTTCGACATTAACTTTTAGACCGGCCTCATTTAATAAAGAAAACACCTGTCTTAAATCCTGTACATGTTGGTCGAGATTATCACTAGTAATAATGATATCGTCTAAATAGATAAATGTGGACTTTCCAAGAACAGGTCTTAACACAATGTCCATGCATCGCTGAAATGTTGCCGGGGCCCCTGAAAGGCCAAACGGCATACGCAAAAATGCATAAGTGCCAGACTTGGTTA